AGTAACAGCAGAGAATTTTCTAGAACTGATAATAGTTGTGAACTCTTGGATTCAGGAAGTAAAAAATATCTGCAGTATAAATACAAATAAATCTACCCTACAATACAGTATTAATGAAGCAAGTGGCTGCTTTTTGATCCAAAGGATTTTAAAAGGTTACCTGGCATATTCCTGGAATACTAAAGAAACTGGTAGTAGAGGCTGACCCTGAGGAGAGAAAATATGGACTAAACTACAGGACTCAAATAGCCGCCTTCTCCACAGGCCCAAGGTCTAGGTCTCCTTGGAAAAAGCATAGCTTTGGCTCAGTGAATAGCAGAGAAGAGGGACCTGCCTAAAATTAATCCTGCAGGTAGATGGGGCAAGCCATCTCACAGAGCTGCTATCACGCTTCACAGTTTGCTACGACACAGTCCAACTACATGGAGGTTACTGCTGCTGGATGTCGCACACTGTAGACGCCAGATGCTGACGAAGAAGAATGAACTACAGGAGGCTGACAGGAGTGAAAGAAAGCCGGGAAAAACAGATAAACAAAAAACCCTCCTCTTCAGACCCTCCAGCCCTCTACTGACAAAGCCTAACATCATACAAGCCAGCAAGGAGGGACATTTACAGAACACAGTTCCAGTAGTGCAGATCAGGCAATGAAGGAGGCAAAGCTGAGAGACGGTACCTTGACAGCTGGCAGGGCCTTAAAACTCCTGGGAGACACTAAGGGCAGGTGGAGGCGGGGCCAGCTACAGACCAACGATGTGAATTTGTCAAAAATCAAGGAATGTACTTAATATACTTTTGTCCAAGGAATTTGACTTTCAAGTTGTTTCTATTGCTCTTTTCACCTGAAACTACCATGGAGTAGGTCTTCATACATGCTTACTTTTAAAATACCTGAGGCAGGATAACTTAATAAAGAAAAAAGGTTTATTTAACTCAGAGTCTTGGAGGTTTGAGGACATGGTGCTAACATTGGCTCAATTCTTTTAAGGGCCTTCTTGGCTTCATTACCTCATGGCAGATGACAATGACAGGAATGTGTGTGGGAACACAAGATTACATCTTGATATAGGGAACTAGAGAGAGAGAACAAGTGGGCCCATACTCATGCTTTTCTATCACTGTTGTTTTGAGAACTAACTAGGGTCCCATGAAAAATACCTTAACCCCTTTGGAGGGCTTGCCCTCAACTGACCTAGGATCTCCCAGTAGGTCCTATCTCTCAAAGGGTTGCATCACCTCCCAATACCACCAACCTGGGGACCAAACTCTCAAAACACTGGAAACTTTAACAGGGAGAAACAACATCTACACGACAGCATTCCCTAAACAAAAATTTTAAAGTGTTTTTTAAAAGATTGGTGTGATATCGAAGAATACACACATACTGCAGATATTCTTTAATCCTACTACTGGGAATCTACCAAAGAAACATAAAAGTAACCAGATATGAAGGCTTACTCCTTGGTAGTTTCACATGAAAGGGCAGTAGAAACAACCTGAATGTCTACAGTAGGAATGGCTTAAAATACTGATATATCGGGCCGGCGCCGCGGCTCACTAGGCTAATCCTCCACCTAGCGGCGCCGGCACACCGGGTTCTAGTCCCGGTCGGGGCGCCGGATTCTGTCCCGGTTGCCCCTCTTCCAGGCCAGCTCTCTGCTGTGGCCAGGGAGTGCAGTGGAGGATGGCCCAAGTGCTTGGGCCCTGCACCCCATGGGAGACCAGGAAAAGCACCTGGCTCCTGACTCCTGCCATCGGATCAGCGCGGTGCGCCGGCCGCAGCGCGCCGGCCGCGGCGGCCATTGGAGGGTGAACCAACGGCAAAGGAAGACCTTTCTCTCTGTCTCTCTCTCTCACTGTCCACTCTGCCTGTCAAAAAATAAAAAAAAAAAAAACTGATATATCTCACACTTTTAAGTATTCTAAGCTTTTTAAAAGAATGAGTTAGATCTTTACGTGCTGACCTGGAAAACCTATTAACTGGAAAGGAAAATTGTTATGAAATCTGTTACAACAGGGGGTAAAACCTCCCCCAACACATGCTTCAAATCCTTTATATGTGCATGTTGCTTGAGCACAAAGGACCAATACATGTTGGGTACTTCAGGGACCTGGGGCGACAGAAATGTTTCCATTTCATTTCTGCTGTACGTCACTGACTTCTATACAATTATTATATAATTTTAATAAATTTACTCCCATTGGTGATTAATATATCAACTCAGAAACAATACTGGAACCAGACCAATTTTTACCCTGTAATTACTTTTCCATTTTCCCATGTCAAAAATAACATTTGATTTTCAAGGATTATTGAAATATATAGAGATAAATGAAACAGTGTTTTATCAACTTTTTACTTAAAGAAAGGAAATGTATCTTTCCAGAAATAATTTCATGATGCTAGACTAGGATGGTGGGAGAGGAAAGGAAACTTGACTGACTTTTCACCAGTCTGAGGTGTCTGTTGCAGATTAAGTTGTAAGCCATGACTCAGCGTCTTCCCACATTCATAAGGCTTCTTCCCAGAATGCACTGTCTGATGATGTGAGAAGCTTGAATGATAGCTAAAGGCTTTCCCACATTCTTTACATTCATAAGGTGTCTCACTAGTATGAATTCTCTGATGTTGAGTAAGGTGTGACTGAAATCTAAAGGCCTTACCACATATCACACATTCATGAGGTTTCTCACCCGTATGAGTTCTCTGATGTCTTTTGAGGTGCGAACATTGTCTAAACGTCTTCCCACATTCCTTACACTCATAGGGTTTCTCACCAGTGTGAATTCTCTGATGTAGGGTAAGCTGTAAACCATCACAAAAAGCCTTCCCACATTCATTACATTCATAAGGTTTCTTGCCAGAATGAATTTTCTGATGGTGAGAGAAGCTTGAGTGATAGCTAAAGGCTTTCCCACATTCCTTACATTCATAGGGTTTCTCCCCAGTATGAATTCTCTGATGAATGGTGAGGTATGAGCAATGCCTAAAAGTCTTCCCACATTCCTTACATTCATAGGGCTTCTCCCCAGAATGCAGTCTCAGATGCTCAGTAAGCTGAAAGCCACGAATAAAGGCTTTCCCACAATGCTTACACTCATAGGGTTTTTCACCAGTATGAAGTCTTTGATGTTGAGTGAGTTGCGATCTTTGTCGAAAAGCTTTCCCACACTCCTTACATTCATAGGGTTTCTCACCAGTGTGAATTCTCTGATGTAGAGTAAGTTCTGAACTATAATTAAAGGCTTTTCCACATTCTTTACATTCATAGCGTTTTTCACCATTATGAAGTCTCAGATGTTGTTTATGTTGTGAGCACTGAATAAAGGCCTTCCAACATTCTTTACATTCACCATTCTGAATGCTCTGTTTACTCATAAGGAATGATGTATTAACGATTCCCGTGCGTTCCTTACATTCAGTAAGTTCTTCTTTAGGATTTCTTTTGTGGTGACTAAAGAATAAATGGTAACTGAAGTTTTTCCTATATTTGTTACATTCAGAGATTTCTTCTTTATTGCAAAATTCTTGGGAGAGTAAAGTATGTTGTCTAAAAATGGGTATGTTCTCATGCTTCATCATGAATTGCCTGAAATAGTCTTCCTGTTGTCCCTGCTGTTGCTCAAAATGACATCTGCATTCCCAAATATCTCTGAAACTAGATCTCTCAGGGCTGTGGCTTCTAATTTGTTCCCAATCCCCTTGGGATGGCTCTATTTCACAAATGTCCTTTTCTGGCAATAATTTTGTGGGCTCCTCTCTGGACGCCAAGTCTGAAAGATAAGAAATATATTTTAATTCCTACTTTATAAGTGATAAACACATAAAATACATGATATAAATGAAACACAACGGAAAATAATTCACACAAAAAATAAAATGTTTGTAGTACTATTAAATACTAGCATGTAGATGAATTAAAAAAAAAAAAAGCCAGGGGAATACAGAGAAATGAGAGCTCTTGAGAGAAGGTGAGCAAGTTAGTTATAGAAATAACTTCGTTCAATGATACTGAAATTTGTCTGCCTCTGAATCAACCTGGAAATTTGTTGCAGTTATGTATATTCAGGAAACATTCTAAATCAAATGAATCAGAGTCTAAGACAGCTGGTCTTAGAATGAGATCAACTGAATCAGAATCCACAAGAATCTGCATGTGTAACATGCTCCACCAGGACAAAGGGTGTCTTCAAATATCTATTTCTTCCCACTTTTTAAATACTGATTGAACTCACGGTTTTAGTTGAGATTACAACTGCCCAATATAAACACTGCATTTCCCAAGCGCCTCTGCAGCTGGGTAAATTGGGTTTTGCCTAAAGACAGAAGTATTATATAGCAGCTTCTGAGGACTTCTCCTCAGAGCCAGGTGGCCCATGCCCTGTATCATATTTTTCCCCTCTTCCTCAACAAAGCTGATGACAATGTGGATTTCTGTCCTAATGGTGGTTCTGCAGAAATACCTTTCTAGCCTGGACTTCAATGAAGAGGAAATTAAACTTCTGTATAATGTTAATCACTATTATTTTGGATATCTGTTACACGCAACCTAACACATAGCCATTTACTATGCAACTTCCATTGAGCTGAGATTTTAAAAATCCAACTCCTTACTCATAAGAACGCACTATACGAGTATCAGTAAGACCTCATTTTGAGTCCAGTCCCTCTTTATTTATTATGTTATAATCATACTAACCTTCTTTCAACAACTAGGACATACCAAAGTGCTTCTTAGAATTTTTCAGAAACTGCTCATCTGCCAAGACTCCTTTCAGCTAGGTTTTTTTGTATAGCTAACTGGCTTCATTTCATCAAGTTTCATCACATCCACACGACTGTATTTCAGATATTATCTACTTGAGTCCTTACCTTAAGTACTACTGGAATTATATATTCTTGTATTTATTCATCTTTTAATGTTTATTCTAACACTAAAGCTACACAAGGATAGAAAATCATTATACAATAAATGTAAGTATTTTATAATCAACTGTTGAATAAATGAATAGGAATATACTAAGTTAATCAGTTGCTGAAAAAATGAATTAAATGATTAAAGAAATGGAATTAAGATGAAAATAAAGAGAAATTCAAAGATAATTATTAAGGATCATGATCATTTGAAGTCCTTAAGTTTGTCATTCTTAATCCTGTGAATATACACTGAATGAAAATTATGTCTTTGCAAAAACTGATTAAAGGAAGAGGGAGGAAGGAGGAAAGGAGTTTGGGGGCATGGGAGGGGAAGTGTAATTTTCTTCCTGGAGCCGTATCTATGGAATGCACGAAATCTACTCTCTTTATATTAATACAAAAAAGTCTGTCATTCTTCTATTTGTTCCAATGTCTACTAAAGTGACTTATATGTAAACACAGGCAGAGTTAGTGCAAGAGAGAGAGAGACAGACAGACAGACAGAAAGGTCTTCCTTCCATTGGTTCACTCCCCAAATGGCCGCTACGGCCGGCGCTGCACCGATCCAAAGCCGGAGCCAGGTGCTTCCTCCTGGTCTCCCATGCAGGTGCAGGGCCCAAGCACTTGGGCCATCCTCCACTGCCTGCCTGGGCCACCGCAGAGAGCTGAACTGGAAGAGGAGCAACCAGGACTAGAACCCGGAGTGCTGGCACCACAGGCGGAGGATTAGCCTAGTGAGCCATGGCACCTGCCACATAGGTTTTTCTTAATATATATTTGCATGTATTTCTTGAAGACCCTCAATGAATGAATTTCAAAAAAAATTTCACATCAAAATAAACTTATCTTTTAATTAATTATATTTTCTACAAACTTATTGAAGTTCCCTCATATATACATAAAGCACACATTTGGTTATAACATACTACTCCAACTTTTTAGGTTGCACATTAATACTTTTCCTTGCCTATTTGCAATCAAGGAGAACCAGAGCTAGCTTCCACAGCATTGCTAATGTATTGCCTCTTTTATTTATTTATTTATTTTATATTTTATTTTATTTTTTGACAGGCAGAGTTAGACAGTGAGAGAGAAAGGTCTTCCTTCCGTTGGTTCACACCCCAAATGGCTGCTACGGCCAGCGCACTGCGCTGATCTGAAGCCAGGAGCCAGGTGCTTCTCCTGGTCTCCCATGCGGGTGCAGGGCCTAAGGACCTGGGCCATCCTCCACTGCCTTCCCAGGCCACGGCAGAGAGCTGGACTGGAAGAGGAGCAACTGGAACAGAACCAGCGCCCCGACCGGGACTAGAACCCAGGGTGCCAGCGCTGCAGGCAGAGGATTAGTCTAGTGAACTGCAGCACCGGCCAATGTATTGCTTCTTTTGCAGGTGGACTCCTCAGCTTAAATGAAAGATTCAATTCTACCTGGAAAACATTAAAACAAGACCCAAAATCTCAGTAGTACCAGTTCTGGGCTATATAATCTACGTTGGTCCTACCAGACAGTTCGTATGCCTTCCGGAAGTCAGTTTTTTGTTCCCATGGTGTTTATTATAGTGACATACAAAATCAACTGCATTCCCAAAATAAAAATGCATTATCATTTTTAAATATTGCAAACAAAATAAAATACTTAAGTATAAAACTAGCAAAACAGGTATAGATTCTGTGTAGTGAAAATTATTAAATGCTAATTTAAAAAAACTTAAATTGTTTAGAGAGACATGTTATGTTCATGAGCTGGAATACTCGACAGAGAAAAGATGTTTTCCTTTACCTCATCTAACACAATTCCTATTAAGATCTCAGCAAGTTATTTTGCAAACATAGATAAGCTTATTCTAAAATTTATATGCAAAAGAAAAGAAGCCCAAGGAGAGTCAGAACAATTTTGAAAAATAATATACTGAGTGAGAAGAATCACTCTTTCTAATGTTAAGGCTTACTATATATATCTGCAGTAATCAAGAAAGCATGGACAAAGATCACTGGAACAGAAGAACCCAGAACCAGAGCCATACAAGTATACCCAACTAATTTTAGAAAGATTAATTTATTTGAATGAAAAAGTGAAAGAGACGGACAGAAACAGACATACAGAGAGAGAGAGAGAGATCTGTCATGTACTTTTTTTTTTTTTTTTTTTTTTTTTTTGACAGGCAGAGTGGACAGTGAGAGAGAGAGACAGAGAGAAAGGTCTTCCTTTTTGCCGTTGGTTCACCCTCCAGTGGCTGCCGCGGCCACCGCGCCGCGCTGATCTGATGGCAGGAGCCAGGTACTTATCCTGGTCTCCCATGGGGTGCAGGCCCCCAAGCACTTGGGCCATCCTCCACTGCACTCCCTGGCCACAGCAGAGAGCTGGCCTGGAAGAGGGGCAACCGGGACTAGAACCCGGTGTGCCAGTGCCGCAAGGCGGAGGATTAGCCTAGTGAGCCGTGGCGCCAGCCTGTGTCATGTACTCTTTCACCCCCTAAATGGCGACAACAGCTGGGGATGTACCAGGTGGATGCCAGGAGCCAAGAACTCAATCTGGGTCTCCCACATATGCGGCAGGAAATCTAGTATTGAGCCATCACCTGCTGCTTCCCAGCTGCATTAGCAGTGAGCTGGATCAGCAGCTGAGGAGCCAAGACTCTAAGCAGGCACTGATACAGTATACAGACATCCCAAGCAGTAGCTTAATCTGCTGCACCACAATGCCTGCCTCCTGTGTGCCCCCTGCCCCCGCAACTAAATTTTGACAAAGGTGAAAAACCACTTCAGTGGAGGAGAGAGATTCCCGGCTGTTCCTCTTCCCATGCAGCTCTCTGCTGTGGCCTGGGAAAACAGTAGAAGATGGCCCAAGTCCTTGGCCCCTGCACTCGCATGGGAGACTGGGAAGAAGCACCTGGCTCCTGGCTTCACATCAGTGTAATTCCAGCCCTTGCGGCCATTTGGGTAGTGAACCAACGGAAGGAAGATCTTTCTCTCTGGCCCTCCCTCTCACTGTCTGTAATTCTACCTCTCAAATAGATAAAATAAATCTTAAAAAAAAAAAAAAAAATTGGAGGGGGCCAGCACTGTGGCACAGCGGATTAAAGCACTGGCCTGAAGCACCAGCATCCCATATGGGCCTCAGTTCTAGTCCTGGCTGCTCCTCTTCTGATCCATCTTTGTTATGGTCTGGAAAAACAGAAGATGGCCCAAGTCCTTGGGCCCCTGCACCCATGTGGGAGACCCGGAAGAAGCTCCTGGCTCCTGGTTTTGGACTGGCGCAGCTCCGGCTGTTGTGGCCATTTGGGGAGTGAACCAGCAGATAGAAGACCTCTCTCTCTATAACTCTGTCTTTCAAATAAATAAATCTTTAAAAAAAAAATAATAAAGAAAAGAACATTGGAGAAAATGTTCGGGAACTAGGATTAGGCAAATAGTTTTTTGCCTTGACACCAACACATATACATATATAGACCAAAACCACAATTTATAAGAGAAAAAAATTGATAAACTCATAAAAATTTAAAACTTTTGCTCTATCAAACACCACGTTAAAGGATAAAAAGACAAATTACAGACTGGGAGAAAATATTTGCAAGTCACATATTCAAGAATGTTTTTCTAGAATATACAAAGAAATTGAAAACAATGCTACAAAACCAACTGGAGCAGACATTTGGCCTGTAAGTTAAGATGCCAATCAGGATACCCACATCCCACGGGTTCAATCCCTGGTTCCAATTCCTGACTCCAGCTTCTTTCTAATGTGGACCCTGGGAGGTAGAGATAACTCATCTAGTTGGGTTACTGCCACTCTCAAGTGAGACCTGACTGAGTCCCTGGCTCCTAGCTTTGGCTTGGTCCATCCCTAGCCATTACTAGCATCTGGTGGGAGCTGCCTCTCTGCCTCTCTCTATATATCTTCCTCTAAAATAAAAAATAATAATAAGTGAATCAAATTAGAAAATGGGCAAAAGACATGAGCTGACATTTCACTGAAGAGGATATATATATATGGCAAATATATGAAAAAGCATTCAACATTTGCCATTGAGGAAATTCAAAATAAAATCGCAAGGAAATACCAATATCCATCCATCTATCAGACTGCCTAAAATAAAAATAGTGGTAACACCAAACATTGTCTAGGATTCAGAGAAACTGGATCACACATTGCTGGTGGGAAGGTAAAATGGCACAACTGTGGAAAATAGTTTCGTAGTTCGTTTCAAGACAAAAAAATGGGCTGGTGCCAGCGCTGTGGCATAGTAGGTTAAGCCACCAACTGCAGCACCAGGCATTGCATATGGGCACAGGTTCGAATCCCGGCTGCTCCACTTCCAATCCAGCTCTCTGCTAATGTGCCTGGGAAAGCAGCAAAGATGGCCCAAGTCCTTGGGCCCCTATACCACATGGGAGACCCAGATGAAGCTCCTGGCTCCTGGCTTTGGCCTGGCACAGCCCTAGTCATTGCAACCATTTGGTGAGTGAATCAGCAGATGGAAGATCTTTCTCCTCTAACTCTTTCAAATAAACAAATCTTTAAAAAATGGGGTTACCATATCAACTAGCAATTATAGTCTTCAGTGTGTATCCTGCATAATGAAGGTTTATTTTCATGCATGAACTTGTATAGGAATGTTAGGAACATTGTGTGTGTGTAGAAATAGAGGGAAAAAGGTAATATCAAAAGGACATGCACTGGCCGGCGCCGCGGCTCACTAGGCTAATCCTCCGCCTTGCGGCGCCGGCACACCGGGTTCTAGTTTCCCCGGTCGGGGCGCCCGGATTTTTGTCCCCGTTGCCCCTTTTCCCGGCCAAGCCTCTGCTGTGGCCAGGGAGTGCAGTGGAGGGAGGGCCAGGTGCTTGGGCCCTGCACCCCATGGGAGGCCAGGAAAAGCACCTGGCTCCTGGCTCCTGCATCGGATCAGCGCCCTGCGCCGGCCGCAGCGCGCCGGCCGCGGCGGCCATTGGAGGGTGAACCAACGGCAAAGGAAGACCTTTCTCTCTGTCTCTCTCTCTCACTGTCCACTCTGCCTGTCAAAATAAAAAAAAAAAAAAAAAGGACATGCACTGCAGGATTTTATTTCTGTAACACTCATGAAATAATATATAGATAGAGAACAGAAGAGTGGCTGCCAAAGGTTAGGGAAAAGATAAAGAGACAGATGTAACTCTCAAGAGGTAACAGAAGAGAGTCTTGTGGTAATATTTCTGTTGAATCATTTTGGCTATGGTGATATTAACTCAAGGACACATATGATAAAACCATATAGCACTATATGCATATGCATACACATAAGTGAGTACACATACACATAACTAATGCAATATGTATGAATAAGCCTTATGCATTGTAGCAATGTTGGTTTTTTGGATATGACATTGTACTATTTAGTTGTGTGAGGTATTAACACGGGGGAAACTGGAGAATGGTATAAAGGAGTTCCCTGTACATTTCTTTGCAACTTCCTGTGAATCTATTAATTGCTTCAACATAAAAGTTAAAAAAAAAAAAATTACTGCATTCATGTCAAAGGAAAGGACTATCAAAAATTGGTAGGGGCTAGCATTGTGATACAGCAGGTTAAGCCACTGCCTGAAATGCAATGCCAGCATCTTATATGGGTGTCTGTTCAAGCCCCGGCTACTCCACTTCCAATCTACCTCCCTGCTAATGCACCTGGGAAATCAGCGGAAGGCGGCCAAGTGCTTGGCCCTGTCACCCACATGGAAGACCTGATGGAGTTCTAGGTACCTGGCTTCAGCCTGGCCCAACCCTTGTTGTTGCAGCCATTTTGAAAGTGAACCAGTAGCGGCTCAATAGGATAATCCTATTGATAATCCTACTGCGCCGGCATACTGGGGTTTAGTCCCGGTGGGGGCGCCAGATTCTGTCCCGGTTGCCCCTCTTCCAGGCCAGCTCTCTGCTTTGGCCCGGGAAGGTAGTGGAGGATGGCCCAGGTGCTTGGGTCCCTGCACCCGCATGGGAGACCAGGAGAAGCACCTGGCTCCTGCCATCGGATCAGTGTGGTGTGCCGGCCGCAGTGTGCCAGTCGCGGCAGCCACTGGAGGGTGAACCAAAGGCAAAAGGAAGACCTTTCTCTCTGTCTCTCTCTCTCTCTCACTGTCCACTCTGCCTGTCAAAAAGAAGAAAAAAAAAAAAAAGTGAACCAGTAGATGGAAGATCCATCTTCCCCCTGTTCCTGTAACTATGCCTTTCAAATAAATAAAGCTTTTTTTAAAAAAATTAGGTAAAAAGGGAATAGGCATTTAGCCCATGGGTTTGATTCCTGGCTTTAGCTCCTGATTCCAGCTTCCTATCAGTGCAGACCATGGGAGGCAGTGGTGATGGTTCAAGTACAAGTTTCTGCCACCCACATGGGATTGTGTGTCCAACGCCAGCACAGTCTTGGCCACTACAAGCATTTGGGGAGTAAACTAGCAAATGGAAGCTCTTTGTTTCTTTGTGCTCTCAAATAAAAATAATAATAATATATATAAACAAGTAAAATAATGACATTTTTTGGTAAAAGAGCATTATGTACCATTTTTTTTTTTTCAGAATTCCTGTTTCCTAGAGCTGCCACAAACAAAGTACCACAAACTAAGCTGCTGAAAATAACACAAACATATCATCTCACTGGAACACTGTGAGTCACGGACATCTTCAAGGCCTGTGACCTGTAGAATGGGTTTCCTTTTGGATTCCAGAACCCCAAACTTCATGGATGACCTTCTGCCTTTCCAATTATCCCTCTGCTACCTCTACCTCCTCTAGCAGTCATACATAATTTTCCTAAGTATCCTAATAAAACATTTATTCACAGCCTTGATCTCCTACTAAATTGAAAATGTATTCTTACCAGATAGGAAAGCAACTTGTATAAATTTTTAAAAGATTAATAAACACTCTATTTATTGTATCCTTTGATGAACAAAAAGTCTTAAGTTTGTCTTAGATCCCATGTGTCTATCTTGCTTTTGTTGCCTATACTTTTGGTGTCACATCAAATAAGTACCTGTGAAGTCCAATGCTATAAAGCTTTCCCCCAATATAGTCTTCTTCTTCTTCTTCTTTTTTTTTTTTCTTTGACAGACAGAGTGGACAGTGAGAGAGAGAAAGAGACAGAGAGAAAGGTCTTCCTTTTCTGCCGTTGGTTCACCCTCCAATGGCCGCTGTGGCCAGTGCGCTGCGGCTGGCGCATTGTGCTGATCCAAAGCCAGGAGCCAGGTGCTTCTCCTGGTCTCCCATGGGGTGCAGGGCCCAAGCACCTGGGCCATCCTCCACTGCACTCCCGGGCCATAGCAGAGAGCTGGCCTGGAAGAGGGGCAACCGGGACAGAATCCGGCGCCCCAACCGGGACTAGAACCCGGGGTGCCGGTGCCGCAAGGCAGAGGATTAGGATATTGAGCCACGGTGCCAGCCAAGATAGTCTTCTAATACTTTTTATAGTTTTAGCTCTCACATTTAGGACTTTTATCCATTTTGAGTTAATTTTTGTATGAGGTATAAGATAAGAGTCTAACTTAATTCCTCTGCATGTGAAGACCCAGTTTTCCCAATACCATTTGCTAAAGATACTGTCTTTCTTGGGGCTGGTGCTGTGGCATAACAGGTAAAGCCACAGCCTGCAGTGCCGTCATCCCACATGGGCACCACTTTGAGTCTAAGTTGCTCCACTCCTAATCCAGCTCTCTGCTATGGCCTAGGATAGCAGTGGAAGATTGTCCAAGTCCTTGGGCCCCTGCACCCACATGGGAGACCTGGAGGAAGCTCCTGGCTCCTGACTTTAGACTGGCACAGCTCCAGCCGTTGCAGACAACTGGAGAGTGAACCAGTGGATGGAAGACCTCTTTTTCTCTTTGCCTCTCCTTCTCTCTTTTGTGTAACTCTGACTTTTAAATAAATAAATAAATCTTAAAAAAAAAAAAAAAACACTGTCTTTTCTCCATTGAATGGTATCGCATCCTTGTCTAAAGTTATCTGGCCATATATGCAAGGGTTCATTTCTGCATATTCTATTCTAATCCATTGATCTATATGTCTATCTTTAAAAAAAAAAAAACACTTTATTTATTTATTTGAGAGGCAGAGTTACATAGAGAGGAATAAACAGGGAGAGAGGTCTTCCATCTGTTGGTTTACTCCCCAAATGGCCCCAACAGCTGGAGCTAGGCCAATCTGAAGCCAGGAGCCAGGAGCTTCTTCCAGGTCTCCCACTTGGGAACAGGGTCCAAAGACTTGGGCCATCTTCCACTGCTTTCCCAGGCACATTAGCAGGGAGCTGCATCGAAAGTGGTGCAGCTGGAACTTGAAATGGTGCCCACATGGGATGCTGGCACTATAGGTGGAGGCTTAACCTCCTACACCACAGCACCAGACCCTATCCGTCTATCCAGTATGCCAGTACAGCACCGTTTGGTTACTGTATAATTATACTACATTTTGAAATCACAGGTTTTTCTTAATTACTTTGCCTAAATTAACCTTACCAATGCAACATTCTGACCAGCTGGCCCACTCCTTGCAACAGGTTCCTGCTTCCTGATTATTGCTCACTCACCTGGGCACTGTCTTCCTGTCACATCCCTCACACCCATCCAGGGCTCCTTTCCTTGCTCCAATGAGGAGATCACAGCTGGCTTAGAAATAGAAAGTCCTGATTATAAGAAAAGAAATTGAGATGAGATGAAAATGAAAGTACTCAAAAACAGTGATTCAGAATTGATTAAAACAAAAATAAATCATAGGTCAAAATGGCACCTGATAAAGTTCACATTGGAATGGAAGAAGGTATGAAATATTTACACTGAGATGAATTCAGCATCACAAGAAATAAACAGGTGATAAAATAGTACTTAAATTTATACATTTTCTCTGTGATAGGATAAAAGAGTTTTCTGAGATACTTAGTCTCAGATGTTTTTAATGTTAAATGTAAAGTTCTTAGAATGCAGCTACCAAATGCAAATCATTTGAAAAGCAATACATTTGTCATGCAAAATGGAAGAGCATCCATTTGAGCTGTAAATAGTAAATGGCCTTTCTTGGTCCTGCTTACCACACATTAATCAGGAAAGCAAGACTTCCCATCTGGAACCCACGTGTTTAACTTTCACCTATTCCGGCCTACCAGCAGGTTTACTACAGAACAGGTGAAACAGAAGACAAAGCCTGGTTTCTTTGACAATGTTATACTTTAACACCGCAGAATTCCAATTCTGTCCCTTAATCATCAAGGAACAAAGCTATGTTAAGAAAGAATCAGGAGAAGGTGAAGATGGGAAAATTGAAGTGCACTTTCATTCAGCTGTGCTTGTTTCTGTACACAGAAATAATTCGCCTAGTTTCTTGAAAGCAGGCCCTAAACTTCAAAGAGGAGAAAGTATAAATTCCAAGAAGTAGATTCTGAATTGTGAGAAACATTTTGAATTCTTAGATAACTTTACCAAGAGAAACCAAGTTTCTATAGTTTTCCAACATCACATCTTTGTACAAATTCCTCTGTGCAGGATTCAGGCATTCCCATTCTTCCTGAGAGACATCTACAGCCACATCTCTGAACATCACCAACCCCTAAAATGACAAATCACAGTGCTGTTTTTGAAATTGTAAGAAACATTTTTTTTTTTCAAAAAGGAAACAAAGTTGCTAAAAGAAGGCATTGTAGGATTCCAACCCAGGCACTCTGATATGGTATGCTGGCACCCTAATCAGCTTCTTAGCTATCTGGCCAAATGCCCACCTCTCTCCCACTTTTTATTCAACTTATATTCCATGCTCAACTAGTTAGACAATTTTGTAGTCACTCTTAATAATGAGTGTGTAGGCTAAACCTGTGGCATGGGTCAAAAGGAATTCAGTGCAACTGAAGCAAGAGGCCCAAATTTTCATTTTTTTAAAATGTTTATTTATTTATTTGAAAGTCAGAGTTGCAGAGAGAAAGGAAGAGACAGACAGATCTTCCATCCACTGGTTCACTCCCTGGATGGCTGCAACAGCCGGGGCTAAGAAAGGCCAAAATCAGGAGCCAGGAGCTTCATCTGGGTGGCAGGGGTCCAAGCACTTGGGGGCATCTTCCACTGCTTTCCTAGGTCATTAGCAGGGAGCTGGATTGGAAGCAGAGCAGCCAGGGCACCAACTGGCATCCACCTGCAAGAGCAGGTGATGGCTTAACCTGCCATGCCACAATGTGTGCCCCACCCACATTTTCTTAAACAATTCAATTTCTGCAGAACGTTGTATATACGGTGAAAACAACAGTCATGTAGAAATCAAGAAAATAAGCAGAGGTTCTCAATTAAATACAGGTTGAGCATTCTTAACCTGAAAACCTAAAATCCGAGATGCTCATAAATGTGAAATGTTCCAAAGTCTGAAATTTCAATGTTTCAGACTTTAGAACATTTCAGATTTAGCATTTTTGGATTAAGGGTATTAAATCAATAATGTCTATCCAAATATTCCTAAATCTGAAAAACTCCAAAACCTGAAACATTTCAGGTCCCTAGTATTTCATACAAGGGATGGATATCCAACCTATAGATTAAAAGTTTTCAGTATTTTCAGAATGTGTCACAGAAATCTCCATCTTGAGAAAAAATATTTGAAGACCTTTCTTCATCATTATGACAATGTCATAGGCGTTTTTCCTTTTCATGAAAATTCTTTAACAAATGGTGCAGACTATGTTTTTCCAAAGCTGAACACAGCAGTCTCTTTGGTCCTGTTTGTTCTTCCTCAAAGCAACCGAGAAATTCCACCTCCCAATTGGTGTGGAGAATCTATTCCCTTCTCTTGAACCTAAGAGGACATCTGTGACTTACTCAACTTTTATGGTAGAAATGTGATTCCTAAGCCTATATCACAAAAATATCTCATCTTTGTGCCTTACTTTCTAGGGGTGTTTATTCTTGAAATCCAGCCACTATGCTTCCAGGAATCCTAAGTAGACCAGGGAATAGCACATGGAAAAAGAAACCAAGTCACTCAAAACAATAGCCAGCTACAGCTTGCAAGCCATGTGAGAGAACCATCTTGAAAGTGGGTCATCTATTTCCCAACCAAGTCATCTCAATTTGATATCACATGGAATAGAAGTAAGCTATCCCTACTGATCCCTGCTCAGACTGCAGGTTTATAAGCCAAAACATGACTGTTATTGCTTTAAACTACTAAATTTTGGAGTGGTTAGTATGTAACAGTCGTAACTGTAACATTTTTGGTAGCATAACATTTGGTCTTATAAATAAGAAATGTAATCACTCTTAAATTTTAATCTCTAGGATAGACAAAATTGTTAAGGCTTTTTCTAAGGCTCATACCGCATTTTTTACAACTACACCTGAGAGATCTTAACTATTTTTATTGCCATCTCTCCCTGTATATTTCCTATGTGCCTAAGTTAGAGAATACTGATGTAGAATGAGACAGACTAATTTTAATGTGACCTAAGCCTAGCATTTCCTATTCCATCTAAGACTAGAGTTTGTAATTGGTGATCATTTATTTTCTGAAAAGATATTTAATCTACAGATGTATATAATCTTTTTTTTTTTTTTTTTTTTTTTTTTGACAGGCAGAGTGGACAGTGAGAGAGAGAGACAGAGAGAAAGGTCTTCCTTTGCCGTTGGTTCACCCTCCAATGGCTGCCGCGGCTGGCACGCTGCGCTGCCGATGGCAGGAGCCAGGTACTTCTCCTGGTCACCCATGGGGTGCAGGGCCCAAGCACCTGGGCCATCCTCCACTGCACTCCCTGGCCACAGCAGAGAGCTGGCCTGGAAGAGGGGCAACCGGGACAGAATCCGGCGCCCCAACCGGGACTAGAACCCGGTGTGCCGGCGCCGCAAGGCGGAGGATTAGCCTAGTGAGCTGCGGCACTGGCCCAGATGTATATAATCTTAAATCCTCAGAAAACAAAAAGTCTCTCTTCCTATTGAAATGACCCAACATCAATTCCTATATCTAACTAGAAAACCCAAAACTGTGAAGTTCAAATATTCCACATGTGTGATCTCATCAGCCATTCTGAGAGAACATCTCAAGTGGTGACTGTTGTGTTCCTCACAACCTGTATTCTACTGTCCTCCTTGTTCCTCACCATCCCTCTTTCTTCTCTGCAAGAGATGAAAGAGATGTCATAATTCCATCAGGATATACCACATACTGTCTCTCCCGGTTGCAATGGTTTGTTGACATTCAGCTTTTTGTGTCTCAAAAATTTTGGTTTCTGGTCAATGTCACTATCTCCAGTACTACTAATCTTAACTTTCAGTGATTGCAAATATCTATATACCTAGTCCTTCAAATGGCATGGACTCCCAATTCTCTAACCTCTTCCATTTCTATGATCTTTTCTTCCACTCATTCCTGTTACTAGTCATTAGTTCTGTTTTTATTTTTTTAAAAGATTAATTAATGTATTTACTTAAAAGGCAGAGTTACAGAGAGAAAGAGGGAGAGACAGGGGCAGAGAGAGAGAGAAAGATTCAATCTGTGGGTTCATGCCCCAAACAGCCGCAATGGTCAGGGTTGTGGCCAAAGCCAGGAGCCAGGAACTCCATTCAAGTCTCCCACATGGGTGCAGGGGTCCAAACACTTGAGTCATCCTCTGCTGCTTTCCTGGGCGCATTAAAAGGGAGTTGGATTGGAAGTGGAGCAGCCGGGACTCAAACTGGCACCCTCATGGGATGCTGGTGCTTGAGGTCGGGAGCTTAACCCACTGCGCCATGAAGATGGCTTCACTAGTCATTAGCTCCGAGCATCAGCACAAACTGCTACATCGCCAAAATTTCAAGTGAAATTCTGATTACCTGCATATTGTCAATCACCCCTTCAGACCTCTTCTCTCACTTTTTAAAATTCATTATTTATTTATTTGTTTGTTTGTTTGAAAAGCAGAGAGACAGAGAGAGCACTCCTTCTGCTGGTTCACTTCCCAAATGCCTGCAACTACTGGAGCCAAGCCAGGCTGAAGCAAGGAGCCTAGAGCTTAATCCAAGTCTCCTATAAAGTTGACAGGAACCAAGTACTTGAGCTAGTACCCGCTGCCTCCCAGGATCCCCAGGAAACTGGAATTGGGAGCAGAGCCAGTACTCCAACCCAGCGACTCAGATATGGTATGCTGGCATCCCAACCAGCATCACCCCTCTTACTCGACTTAAATTCCATGCTCACCAAATCACTCAATTTTATAGTCACTCTCAATAATTTTCCTCAAAATATATTCTGTTCTCTCCATTTCCTGGTATAAGATTAAACAAATGGGAGATGAGGAATGATTCATTCAATGGATATATAAACTTTGGCTATGTAGCACAAGAGCCAAAAAGGAAGGTCCTGCACTTCTGGTACCATCACTTGTTCACTCACTGTAAGTTACCTTCAATGCTCAGTAAGGTAACAATGTCAGGATAAACAATGTAAATAGGGGCCAGCACTGTGGTACTGTCGGTACTGTCGGTAAAGCTGCAGCCTGCCAGCATCCCATACGGGCACCGGTTCCAGTCATGGCTGCTCCACTTCTGATCCAGCTCTGCTGTGGCCTGGGAAAGCAGTGGAAGATGGCCCAAGTCCTTGGGCCCCTACACCCACGTGGGAGACCCAGAAGAAGCTCCTGGCTCCTGAGTATGGATCGGTACAGCTCCAGCTGTTGCGGTCAATTGGAGAGTGAACCAGCGGATGGAAGACCTCTCTCTCTCTCTCTCTCTCACTCTCTGTGTAACTCTGCTTTTCAAATAAATTTTTAAAAATGCAAATATTCACATGCTCTATTTAAAAAAATTTTTTTTTCAATTAGGAAGAATAAAACATCAACTTACATGGTCCATGGTTTATTTTAGAACTGAATGTGTTAATTAATCCTTCTGTTGGTTCCACTTTAGATGAAACTCAATCCACAAAAGCTGTTGCTAGGTGACAAAAGGGTAAAGGAGAGAGACAGAGATGGGGAGGGAGGGAGATGATTGAGCTCCCCAAATGCTAGTTAGCATGACACTTTCTTTCTCCCTTCGAATCTCCTGCTTCCAACCCTCCAACACACATACATTAAAGATAAGAAGGAATCTGTACAAATCCTAGATCTCCTGAAAGCCACAAGGGAACTCAGCTACAACCTTGATTAGATTCTCACTGAATGAGGAGGAAAAAGAAAATGGATATCATGAGAAGATAAAATCAGGAAAATGGAAAATAGACCCCAAAGACCCAATGTAACAGAATTTTCAAACAGAGGCCAAACCAAGGGATAAAGAGAGGTAATAAACAGAACAAAAAATTTCCAGAGCAACATTAAGTACTGGAGACTTTGGACTGAAGTATTACAAGAACTAAGAATAACACCTGGAATCATCCTGGGAAATCTTAACTTTGTCCCTAAATACAGACACAAAGGACCTAAACATCTTTTAATAAGAAATTTTACAAAACAATGTGCACTGTGGCCTAATCTTCGAAAGAAAATCAAAACGCATATGTACATAAGTGTACGTTCTATGTGGCTTTTCCAGGGGCTGTGTGAGGATAAATGAGGACGGAGGACATCATTCTGGTTTCCGTTGTGTGTGTGAATGAAGCTACAGCTGTACCCCTAAATTCCTGATTGTGTGAGTCTAGGCATTTGTGATGTGATTTTCTTTCATCTAAGCAAACGGGACTCACACAAAGAGCCACCCGCAATGGTCACAGTCGCATGCAAACTCCATTCACACAAACGGTCACGCACACAATCCCACGGTCGCAAAATCACAATCACGCACCCAGTCGCTGTCACAACAGCAGCCAACCACCTACACTGAGCCCAAAGAGAAACCCTGGCTTCCCTCCCGCGCCCACCACACACCCTCTAAACTCCCAGGGCAGCTCCCCGCACTCCGAGGCCTAAAACTGCATTCTTCTCCCAAAGCCCTGGGGAGACGGATTCCTCACCTTCAGCATCCTCAGGAAGCGCTCTGTTTCGAATTCTGGTTCAGAATCCAAGCGAGATCGAAAGCTCAGCCCTGCCTCCTCCACCTATCTTCGCGCACCCTCACCTGCCTCTGCCGCCACCGAAGCGCCTACCGGAAGTGGCTTTGGGCAGCACGGCCCTCTGGGAAATGTAGTCCGAGAGGAAGGAGTCCGGCCGCGGGCCATGGAAAACCTTCCGCCGCGCTGCGAACTGCACTTACGGCGTTCCACTCTCGGCAGGGGAGACGCTGCAAGCTCGGGGCTCGATTCAGGAGTCCAGAAGGTGAAATACTCTACGGGCGGATTTCAGAGCTGGCACAGTAGTTGCCCCTGTGCCCGCAAAATGAACCGTGGGTCCAGAGGGTGTTGGCTGGGGGCTCCGGCCTCCAGCCCTGAGGTTGTGGTGGGATGTGTGTTCCAGTCCGCACGTGCGCACGGCGGAGGGTGACTGTGACACCAGCTGTGCGTGAGACGGCTCATGGTGGAACTGCTGAGAGGGATTGGCTATGCTGTCCACCTCCGTGGGTTCCTGCTGTGAGCTGGGCCGCCCTCCTTCAGTGGTGTGAGGTGTTACAATGTGATGTGGCTGAAACTGTAATTATACATTTTTTATTTTATTTATTTATTTTTGCTAGGAGAGCTCCAGGCGTCTAACGACCTTGCAACATTTCTGTGTGTGGCCGCTTGTGACGGCTGGGGCGGGCTGTGGGCACGCGTGTGCAAGGTGGGTTCAGCCCTGGAGAAGAGAGGCAGTGGCTTGGGAGCAGGAGGGACTGGGATGGATGAATCACGGATCCCCGGAGCAGGTGTGCGCACAGCAGTGGTGTGAAAGGATTGTGTTTCATTGTGGGCAAGAGACCAGAACGGACTGGAGGGAGACCCATGAATATTAACTGCCAGAAGGGACAAATCCTGGTAGATTCTTCCGGACTGTTGGTCATGTGTGGTAGCTTTGGGATCCACAAGGAGAGAAGGCCTATACTTCCGGGAATGGAGAGTCCCTCCCGGCACTTCCGGGCAAGAAAAGTCCTTGTCAAGGTCCTCTAAGGTGCCTAAAGGTCAAGCAGTGAGGATCAGACCCGCCTCGACCTTTAACCCCCACGCCCTGTATCTATAAAAGGAGCCCTCCCAACCTCTCACACGACTTCCCCGGCCCCGCTCTGTTGCTCTGTCAGACCGGTGAACCTCACCCGGCAGCGGAATCCCAATAAAAGCTTGTGAATTAATTGATTTATCTGCTTGGGAAGATGTGTTATGCGCTGGACACCTTGCAATGTGTTGCGAGAGGGTTTGTGCTTGAAACTGTCACCAAAAGAGTGAAACATATTAAAATACGAAAGTGGTTAGTGAATGTACCCAAATGACAGCAATAGGGCAGAGGATTATACTATTCTGGCTTTGAGGTTGTGTGTGTGTGTTTGAGAAATCATGAGATTTGGTGTTTAAATATGTGACATATGTGAGTTAAAATCTGCTCGAAAAACTGTGAAGATTTTATTTAAATGTATCTACACAGGGAGTAAGAAATTCATGAAAAATGGAATTAAAAGTTTATTTTCATGCAAAAATTATTTGAAATTCATGCATTGATTTTTCATAATACACATTTTCCATTAATTTTTTGAACATCTCTCGTATAAAACATGGCAATATCATGAGTGTGTGACATTGAGGATGAGTTGGTACCTACAATAAGCCTCACCTTCCTTACTTCTAAAAGATAATGTTTACACTTCCTGAAGCATCGATCTTACTGGAAAGTTTGGAGGAAAATTCTTTTAAAAACAGAAAATCTCTTACAGGGTGACTAGGAATATGGTTGGTATCCTTTGGTGAGAGTTAAAGAGAATAGAAAATCTACTAAATTCCTTCTTGAGTTGTCTAAGTGGAAGAATTCTAGGTCACATGAGTAAAAGCCTAACTTGAGTCATAAAATCAGAAAGCCAGGCTTCCTTAATGAATTCTCAGACTTGAGCTAGCGTTCAGACCCAGAAGCCCCTGGATGAAGGATGGCCAGGTCCCCTTGTGTATACAGCCTCCACAAATTTATACTCTTCATCTTTCTCTGAGCCTTCCGAAGAGAACCTATGGTTTTAGCAGGGTGACTACATTTAAGAAAGGCAAAAAATCAGACCATTCAGGCATTACTACACATTGGCTCTGTACTGACACCAATTGCAGGAGACCCAAAACATCACTGTGTTCTACCACACAGAGTAGGGGCTTGTGGAGGTTAGGTGACCAGTGGAATTTCAGCTCAGTCTGTCTTTTTATTTTTATTTATTTATTTATTTTGACAGAGTGGACAGTGAGAGAGAGAGACAGGGAGAAAGGTCTTCCTTTGCCATTGGTTCACCCTCCAATGGCTGCTGCGGCCGGCGCACCGCGCTGATCCGAAGCCAGGATCGGTGCTTCTGGTCTCCAATGCGGGTGCAGAGCCCAAGCACTGGGCCATCCTCCACTGCACTCCCAGGCCACAGCAGAGAGCTGGCCTGGAAGAGGGGCAACCAGGACAGAATCCGGCGCCCCAACCGGGACTAGAACCCGGTGTGCCGGCACCACAAGGCTGAGGATTAGCTTAGTGAGCCGCGGCGCCGGCTGCTCAGTCTGTCTTAACAATGGGTCCCCAAACCTATTCTGCAAGTTATTTCCCCAGTGCCAGAATGCTATTCAGATAGACAAACTACGAACCGGCAGAGTCCCCACAAGAATTCTCTGACCTGTGAAATGGAGAGCTATTAAGTGGAAACTACTAAAATTGACTCTACGTTGAAATATAGTAAACCAAAAGCAATACCACATTCCTGAAGGGATTACAGAGGTAAGTGCCATCACTAAGGACTTGAGGGTGGTGATTCCCTCAGCCCCACAACCCTATTCCCTCAACACCAGGACCCCATTCAACTTGCCTGTTTAACCTGTGCAAAAGACAGATATTGAAGGATTACAATTGATTGTTTTAGGCTTAATCAGGTGATGACTCAAATTGCAACACTGAAGTAGATGTGGTTTCATGAACACATCCTCTGGTAGCTGGTATGCAACTATTGATCTGGCAAATGCTTTTCTCTTCATCCCTATTACTAAGACCACCAGAAGCAGTGTACTTGCAACTGGCAAGGATAGTAATACACTTTCAGTATGCTACCTCAAGGGTATGTCAGTCCTCTAGTCATAGGTCATAATTTAGTTCTCAGGGATGCTGATTATTTTTTTCATCCATAAGGTATCATTATATTACTTATATAATATTCATATATTGAATATTATACTTATTAATTGTATTATGCTGATTGGGCCTAGTGAACAAGTAGCAACAACTAAGACATGTAAATCCAACAAAAATTCATGGGCCTTCTACTTCAGTGAAATTTCTTGGGGTATAGTGATGTGCATGGCAAGATATCCTAAAATGAAGGGCAGCATTGTTGAATCCGGCCCCTCCTACAACCAAAAAGGTGGCACAACACCTACTGTGCCTCTTTGGATTTGGGAGGCAAAATAGTCCTCATTTGGGAGTGTCACTTTGGCCAACTGCTGAGTAACCCCAAAAGCTGCGAGTTTTGATAAGGACCTAGGAACAAAAGCAAGCTCTGCAACAGATCCAGGCGGTTGTGCCGGTTGCTCTGCCATGGGCCTTCATACATACTTTTTGTGAACTATCTGTTCCTGTCTTACTCAACTTTTTTCAGTTTTTTTGGTCTTTCCCTCACTTTTAAAGATTTAAAAAAAAAATAATAGCAATTGTTGTGGACTTATTTGTTCCATACACCCTCCCTTCCAATTGCATATACTGAAGTCCTAAGCTTCAGTACCTTACAATGTGGTTACTTGGAGACAGGGCCTTTAAAGAGGTAATCAAGTTAAAATGGTGAGCCCCTACCCAAGTGACTGGTACCCTCATATATACAGATTAGGACACACAGAGAAGAATATCAGATACATGCAGAGAAAAGATCACATGAGGACCCAAGAAGATGGTCATCCACAAGCCAAACAGGGGACCTGAGGAGAAACCAAAACTAGTGATACCTTGATCTTGGACTTCAGCCTCCAGAACTGGAACAAAACAAGGTTCTGTACTAAACCAGTTCATATTTTGTTATGGCAGCCCTGGCAAACTAATACAGGACTATTCCCCTATAATCTGTGATGTGTCTTGTAAATATTGTATCATAATAATGGTGTTTAATGGTGAGGTTTTTTAATGTCATCAAATTATTTCAATATTTGTAATTTTCAAATATTTTCTTTCTTTTAAAGATTTATTTATTTCAAAGGCAGTTATAGAAAGAGAGAGACAGCAACAGAGACAGAGTGATCTTCTAGCTGCTGGTTCACTCCCCAGATGGCTGCAATGGCCAGAGCTGGGCTGACCCGAAGCCAGGATCCAGGAGCTTCTTCCAGGTCTCCCACATGGGGTGCAGGGGCCCAAGGACTTGGGCCATCTTCCACTGCATTCCCTAGTGCATTATCAGGGAGCTGGATCAGAAGTGGGGCAACCAGAACTGAAACCAGCACCCACGTGGGATGCTGGCGCTAGAGCCTGTGGCTTTACCCACTATGCCACAACACCGGCCTCAATATTTTCTTTTACTACATCTATTTTATGAGTTACAGAAAGCTTTTTCCTACACTGAGATTAAAGAAGAATCACTAATGCTTTCTTCTAGGACTTGTATGGTTTCAATTTTACATTTACAGCCCTGATGTATTTGGAGTTTACTTTTAGGTATAAGTCTAATTTTATTTTTTGCCAAGTGGCAAACTGTTTGTAACAGCTATGTGCTTATATTTCAACATTTTAATTTGAAATCATTATGGATGTACATGAGGAAATAATACAGTGAGATATTACATAACCTTCACCTAGTTACCCCCAATGATAATATCTCACGTAAGCATCATATAATATTACTAGGCTATCAGCATTGATGCAAATCACAGACCTTATTCACATTTTACCAGTTTTACATGCGCCCTTTGTATATGCACCCTTCGTATATGTTGCTTTTATCACATGTATAGAATCACTTGGCTATCACCACCATAATGATTTAAACAGCTCTATACAAGCACACTCCTGTGTTATTCTTTTATAGGCACAATCATTTTGCCTTTGCCTCCCAATTCCTGGCAGTCTCTAATCTGTTCATGTCTATAGTTCTGTCATTTTAAGAATGATCTATTGATAGAATTGTACAGTTTATAACTTTGAGATTGGCTTTTTTGACTTAGCATATAATTCCTTTGATAACAGTATCAGTAGTCACCACAACACAGTCTGATCAATATATAAAAATATAAAAATGGAAAGTTAAACACTTTGTCACAATTATCTGCCACTATGTAACCACGACAAAAGTTTGTGTCTTAAAAAAAAATTTCATTATTCTGGGGGCTGGCAGTTTGCGTGTTTGGCTTGCCTGAATGGTCCTTCTGCCTCACTTAGGTGACAGCTGTCAGCTGTTGAGCTCGTAGGAGCTAAATGGCCCACGATGTAATCTGAAATACCTGGCAGTTGTTGCTGTCAGCTGGACCTCTTGTGCCATAGTCTTCTGTCTTTAAGCAAGCTGGCCTTAGCCTTCAGGCACATGGCGGGCTCAAGCAGAAAAAAAAGACAAGAGCAAAAGCTGCAAGACCTCCTCAAGCTTTGTTCTGGAAATCTCAAATGTCACCTAATTCACGTGAATTCTGTTGTTTAAAGCACATCACAAGGCCCTACCCAACCAAGCACTGGCTGGCATATTAGAACAAATTTCCCCTTTTCTGAGAAACAAAAGCGAAGAGAACATAAAAAGAGAGTAACTGACTCTGACCTTGGTTTTCAGCTGCACTCAGTGTTTGTTTTCTCAGGGCTCTTGTCTCAGACAACTTCAGGGAACGGGGAAAGGGGAAAGAGAGGGTAGGGAGTCATGAGGCATTTGGTAAATTGGAAGAAATTCTTCAACTCACAAGTTCTCAAAATGGACCACACACATACTTAGAAGTAAAAGAGAGATGAGAGTACCACTAAGCCTTCTCAGTATCCAAGGAAAAGGGCAGGTCACTGATAGAAAGGCCTAGAAACTTTGTCCAAATTTGCAGCAGTTTCCTGGGGAGACAGCTCCGGAACCGATGTGGTTTTGAGACATGAAACGACTTCAGAGAATTCCCGAGAGGTCCTCAGGCCAGACTCCTACTCCTAGTCTCTCCTAATTACATCTTCCTGGGGCTTGCCCAAGGACCACTTCCAACTTTAAAAGCCTCATTCTCAAACCAGCTGTGGGTGTTTCCGTTTGCAACCTTTATTCTACCACTTCAAATATCCGAATTCCTTTTGATGACCATTTCTCTGTATCTGAGGTCCATATGGCAATACAGCAGGGGAAGGAGGAGGAGGGAACTCAGAGGTAGATTCCAACAAACAATCCAACCTAAAGTTGCGTCGTAGGCGGGTACTCGCTCCACGGACACCCGCTCGGTATTAAACAGCAGGCCGGAAGTGCCTTGACACAGATAACTCATGCCAGGCTTCATTGCAAGGCGACTCTGTTTATCACAGTCATCTAGAGGAGTCTTCATAGGCAGATAGACACCTAGAGATCTTCCACAGACCCCTCAGACCCAACATTAAACTCGGAATTGTAGAAATGGAGCTCTACCCTGTTACACAGTCACCTAATTAAAAGCCTCTTGCATCCATGGTGGTTGTGTCACACACCCCACATGACGACCGACCGCAGTCACCCAAAACGTCTTGCATCCGGGCAGGCATAACCGTGCTCGGTCACGCACCTGCCACGGTCTATCAGCGCGCGCACACTCCTGCCTCATCAGGTCCACAAACACATCACACACGACACACGCACACGCACAGGCCTGAGCTTTGGGCTATGCACGCCCTGGCCGTGTCCTGAGAGCGAGGAACTTCCTCATCGTGAGCGCCTTGCGCACCCAGACTCCAGTCAGCCCTCAGAATCAGACAACTCTGAGCTTGGAAAGGGAATCGAAGAACAAAATTCCAGAGCGGCGGCGAGACGGCGCAGGGAACTGTGGGAAGCGTAGTCCAAGACCGGAAAAACCCCGGATGTGGAGAAAGCGCGCGTAGCCCGGTTCTCACCGCGGAGACCCCTGGGAAGTACCGTCCGCGCGAGAGTACGCAGGCGCAGGCTGCTGGCCCCGGCCGAAGGTGAGGCTTTGGGACCTCCTGTAGAGGAGGCGGGTGATGGTGGGCTCCATTGGGACGGCCGGCGAGAGAGGCGGGAACCTGGGCCAGGGAGAGAGAAGGGAGGGAAGAAGGAAGTTAGGCCGAGGAGGAAAGCGAGAGCCCGGCCCTAGAGGCGGCGAAGAGGGAAGTGAGCGCCTAGGCAAAGGCAGCCGGGAGCGCGGGCCGCGGAGCGCGGAGCCTGGACCCGGAGTCCGAGGCTTGGCGAGCAGGCACGGGCAGGAATTTTGTCCGTTTCTCGCCCCGCGAGGAAACCCCAGCGCCGGACGCCCGGCCTGACCCCCGGCAGGCGCCCAGTTTTGGGGATTCCTGGTTGGGAGGGGCGGGGACAGCGGTTGCTGCTCTTTGTGACATTATGGAATTGGTTGTTCTAGAACTGAGAGCGTCTCTGCGCATATCTAAGTTTTAGATTCGGCGCAAGTCGATCTGTGTTTGGGGCTGTACTTGGCTTTGGAGACTGGGGATTCTGAATGAAATTTTGTTACTTTGTGTGTAAGTATATTACGGGCTTTGGAGATTGTGCGTGGGATGCAGGCCCGTGAAATTAGGATGGGTGATGGCTGTTACAGCCGTGAATATGTTTTACTTTTGAAGTGTGCACAATCCATGAGGACTCTGAATGACTGAAAACGGAGTACTTAAGAAACTGGGTGCTAGGAAGTTAGTACGTATTAGATTTTCAGGATACCAGTCATTTTATATGCCAGAGAATTTGACTGAGACGATTAAGCAAGATAAGCAGAAGGTTTTCAAATGAAGTGGAAGAGGTAAAATAATTTTCAGATGGTAGGATCTAATATGGGAAACCCCAAATTGAGCAGTAATATATTGAAATGGGTGCAACACCATTGCAAACACACAGAAACTTTCTCCCATAACTGCCACTCCCAAATTTTCTGTTTGGATGACTTATTTTTTTCTGCTACTGGATGAATTTCTGGGAGGTTCAATCACTTCTTCATTCATTATTGTAAGAGAAATATAAAATCCGTTGAACATTTAAGCAAAACCAGCCTCATAATAGCCATTTAGCTAAATAAAACGTTCACTGTAGTAATCAAACTTGTTCTAAGGGCAGAAGTTTTCTCCCTCTGCTGCTGTAGGGTGAAAAGATACATCATCAGTTTCTTCTCTGATTCCCCAACCTCTGTTTTGTCTTCCCTTTATTCTCTGTAGGTGGGTTATCTCCAGCTCAGATGGATTGGGACCTGAGAAAGGGAAGACATGTCCAGAGTCAGGGACAAGCAGCAGCTAACAAGACTGGTACCGTTATAATCTAGTGTAGGTCGTCTCTTCTGAGACAGCTGCTGCTGGGCCACTTCTCAGTTGCCGCCTCAGCTCTTCCTGTAGGCATGGTGTGGCCCACACACACTGTTGGGTCTTATTTGTCCAGTTGGAGAGGATCCAAGACAACCCAGGCAGCCTCCATCCATGGAATCCTCATCTAATGCTCAGGTGAGAATTAGCCACCATGTGACTTTGCTCTCCAAATCCTGGGAATATGTACATTTTAGCCAAGAATTCACTCAAACCTTTGGTTCCTAGTGGCCTCAGGGTCAGAGGACGTCTCCACTTTTCCGCCTCCAACAATAATTTATTTTATAGTTATGTCTAACAGATTTGTGAGACTTTTTTTTCTTCTAGATTTATTTATTTATTTGAAAGAGTTAAACAGAGAGAAGGAGAGGTAGAGAGAGAGGAAGAGAGGTCTTCCCTTTGCTGGTTCACTCCCCAATTGGTCGTAATGGCCAGAGGTACGCCGATCCAAAGCCAGTAGCCAGGAGCTTCTTCCAGGTCTCCCACATAGGTCCAGAAGCCCAAGGAGTTGGGCCATCTGCTTTCCCAAGTCATAGCAAAGAGCTGGATCAGAAATGGAGCAGCCGGGACTCGAACTGACACCCATATGGGATGCCGCCACAGTGCCGGCCCTGACAGTGTTTTTAAAGTAATTTACTTCCCTAAAGAGACACTGCTATCCACCAATCTCTTCAGCCTCTTGAGGTAGGAGTTGAATTAATGGTTGCAAAACTTTATAGTCAGTAGCTTTAGGAGGCCCTATTTTAGAATGAGGGATTCTAGGCCGGCACCACGGCTCACTAGGCTAATCCTCCGCCTAGCGGCGCCAGCACACCGGGTTCTAGTCCCGGTCGGGGCGCCGGATTCTGTCCCGGTTGCCCCTCTTCCAGGCCAGCCCTCTGCTGTGGCCAGGGAGTACAGTGGAGGATGGCCCAGGTGCTTGGGCCCTGCACCCCATGGGAGACCAGGATAAGCACCTGGCTCCTGGCTCCTGCCTTCGGATCAGCGCGGTGCGCCGGCCGCAGCGCGCCGGCCGCGGCGGCCATTGGAGGGTGAACCAACGGCAAAGGAAGACCTTTCTCTCTGTCTCTCTCTCTCTCACTGTCCACTCTGCCTGTCAAAAAAAAAAAAAAAAAAAAGAGAATGAGGGATTCTAGAAGTTTGTTTCAGTCACCATCTTTGGGACATCAGCTGAGACTGAGGTGGAATTCCAAGTTACTATCCCGTTAAAAATGAAGAATGATAAAAACCCAGAGGGCTGCAGGAAAAATATTAACAGATCACACAGGTTCCACGGGTATGTGTATGGGTAATTTGTGTGTGTGTGTGCACACACATGCATACTCAAATAAGACTTAAGACTTTGAACAAAAAGGCTTCATTTATAGCAGCTCTTAAAAATATGAGATACAAAGGGAATGATGATTCTTTTTTAAAAATGTGTTTTCCAAAAAGCATATTTGATGCCAGCACCACAGCTCACTAGGCTAATCCTCCGCCTGCGGTGCCAGCACCCCGGGTTCTAGTCTGGTCGGGGCGCCGGATTCTGTCCTGGTTGTTCCTCTTCCAGTCCAGCTCTCTGCTGTGGCCCGGGAAGGCAGTGGAGGATGGCCCAGGTCCTTGGGCCCTGCACCCACATGGGAGACCAGGAGGAAGCACCTGGCTCCTGGCTTCAGATTGGCCCAGCGTGCCGGCTGTAGTAGCCATATGGGGAGTGAACCATATGGCTTCACTCTCTATCTCTCTCTAACTCTGCCTGTCCAAAAAAAAAAAAAAAAAAAAAAGAGAGAGACATTTTAAAAAGGCCAAATAAAAGAACAAGAAGATATAACATGATAAAATATTAAAACTCTTTTAACATTTAATGCAGTTCCATTAAAATCTCAGTAATATATTTGAGCTTTCTAAGATTCTTAGAAAAATTGGGGTAAGTAGCCCTAGTAAATGCTAAAATATGTTTTAACTTTTTAATAACTGCACAGTGATTATGGCAGTTAACAGATCATGGAACCGGCTATGAAGTCCAGATTTACTCAGATACATAAAGGAAAGAAAGTGGATGACAGAGATAACAGTTTTGACAAGTGAAGAAACATTACTGAGTACATAGCTATATCAGATGGCAAAATGCTTTTACAAATAGTATTTTTGCATGGGAAAAACAAAGTCAAATGAGAAACTTTGAAAAAATTCATAATTCATACCACAAACTTCCTTTTCAAAAGTTCTGTGTCAATCCAGAAGATAAAAATAACCTAATAAAAAAATGAAACACATGATGAGACATTCATAAGAAAAAAAGATGCTTTTTTATGAAAGGAAGATTATAACAAGAAAACTGAAAACTAGAAACAAAATTTACACCTATTAAATAGGCAAGCATTAAGAGATCAGTAGTAATAATATTCCTCAGGGTGACAGATGTTCTTACCTGTTATTGGTGGTAGTAAAAATAGTCCAGCCTTAGCAGAGAGCAGCTTGAAGGCAGTTAATAACAGGATGCTTCAAAGAGAAAAGATGTTGCTTGAGTGAACAGGAATTTGCCCCCAATCCATCCTGCTATCCCAGGAGCCTGTATCTCTGGCTTTGCAGATGAAACAGCATTTTTCTAACTCATTCTTCCCCCTATACTTATGTAAGATGTGCAAAGTAGACAAGAACCAAAAAGGAAGTAATTTTAGTTGAGTTGTAAGTCATAAGATGTGTGGTCTCATGTGGCTTTTTTCTTATCTTGGTTTTACCTTCTTAGGAACCACCCCTTTTCTAAAGAGGACCCCAAAGGAAAGGCTGGTAATCTCTGAAAATCTCAAAACCATGGATCAGGTGAGGTGATGGTTCTTCTTTCCTTTCTGAAAGTTTGTTTTGTGGGGCCAGCGCTGTGGTGCAGCGGGTTAAGAAGTGCGCTGTAGCACTGGCATCTTATATGGGTGCCGGTTCTAGTCCTGGCTGCTCCACTTCTAATCCAGCTCCCTGCTAGTGCACCTGGGAAAGGAGCGGAGGATGGCCCAAGTCCCAGAGCCCCTGCACCCTCATGGGGGATCTGGAAGAAGCTCCTGGCTTTAGCCTGGCCAGCCCTGGTTGTTGTGGCCATTTGGGGAATGAACCAGCAGATGAAGGATCTTTTTCAGTCTTTCCTTCTTCCTCTGTAATTCTTCAGGTAAATTAAAAAAAAAAAAAAAAAAAAGTTTTTTTTAAAACTATATTTGGGCCTTTGCCTTTCTTACCCAAATCCTCTTACCAACCTCCCACCTAAAATTTTCCTGCACTCAAATGGGGACAAAACTGGTCTCCATTTCCTTTTACAGTCTTTTTCCAAAAACTGTGTTGGGGCAAAAATGCATTTAAATGTGAATGTATTACTGAATTAAATGTGAATGTATTACTGAATAAACTTGTCTTGCGTGGATAAAAATGACATAAACCTCTATTACATCCACAGATCTGAGTAATGATGGAGGTGAAATTGATAGATTGGCATTAGTGTGCGGCAAGAAACCTTGGCTTAAGTCTTTGAGGACCGAGATGTGATCAGCAGCTTGCATAAGGAACTGAGAATTTTGTTTCTCTTCTCTGGTCCTTCAGTTTTTTTCTCAGCTGCCAGTGATTCCTAAAAATCTGTGGCTTTTCAATGGTATCTTTTCCAGTATACTAATAATATTACAGATTTATTCCTATTTTTTAATTTCTTCTAATTTTATATTTGGATGCAGAAGTAACTGTATATACACAGGCCACCATTCTGAACTAGGAGTATAATTCTGGAAATATTCTGTTCTTGGTTTCCAAGATACTACTCTCCTTTTCATTCAGAAAATTGATCTTTATGTCTGAACTTCCTAAATATTGGTATTCTCCAGATACTGTGTTCGCTGTCTTCTCTTTGAAGTCTCCAGTTCTCTATTCATAATCTACCATTATCATTCTAATGATACACAAACAATTTTAAGCCTAAAGTTCTGTGCAGAGTCAAAACCACACATCCGACCTCCATATTCCATACATACTAATGCACATATGTGAGATTTATCTCATGATCTCTCTCTTTTTTTAAAAAAAAAGATTTATTATTTTTATTTGAAAGTCAGAGTTACACAGATACACAGAGAGAGGAGAGGCGGGGGGGACTCTCCATCCAATGGTTCACTCCCCATTTACCCACAACAGCCATAGCTACGCCAATCTGGAGCCAGGAGCTTCCTCCGGGTCTCCCACGCTGGTGCAGGCCATAGCAGAGATCTGGATCGAAGTGGAGCAGTCAGGTCTCGAACTGGCACCCATATGGGATGCCCGTGCTTCAGGCCAGTGCGTTAACCTGCTGCGCCACAGCACCGGCCCCTCATGATCTCTTTCTCACCATCCGGTTCTTTGTTGTGGCCCCAGCCCTTACTCCTATTTACAGCTAATATGAGTTAATTTAATTACACATCTTATTCCCCACCACAGTGCCCTCCATGCCCAGGGATACCATCTGTACTTGGGTACCTATCTCATGATGATCACTTGTCTTCCTATTTGAAGCTTCACTTCTTTTCAATTCTCCAAATGCTCACCCCAGGGCTTGCTTATATATCTTTGTGTTCCTTGTGTTTTGTTATTTTACTTTTATTGTTGTGAACATAAATAATATAAAATTTACCATTCTAACCATTTTGTTTATTTATTTTTAAAGATTTTATTTATTTCAGAGGTAGAGTTACAGACAGTGAGAGGGAGAGACAGAGAGAAAGGTCTTCCGTCCGCTGGTTCACTCCCCAAATGGCTGCAATGGCTGGAGCTATACTGATCCGAAGCCAGGAGCCAGGAGCCTCTTCAGTCTCCCATGTGGGTGCCTGGGCCCAAGCACTTGGGCCATCTTCTACTGCTTTCCCAGGCCATAGCAGAGAGCTGGGTCAGAAGTGGAGCAGCTGGGACTAGAACCGGTGCCCATATGGGAGGCCAGCACTGCAGGCAGAGGATTAACCTACTGTCCACAGCGTCAGCCCCCATTCTAACCATTTTAAAGTGTATAATTCAGTGTCATTAAGTACATTGTAACATCAATAATGTTAGGTAACCATCACCACTTCTTCGTTTTATTTTTTTCTAAAGATTTACTCATTTATTTGAAAGAGTTACAGAGAGAAAAAAGAGAGGCAGAGAGAGATTGTCCATCCACTGGTTCACACCCTAGATGGCTGCAATGGCTGGGGCTAGGCCAGTCTGAAGCCAAGAGCCAGGCACTGCTTCCAGGTCTCCCATGTGGATAGCAAGGGCCCAAGCACTTGGGCCATCTACTGCTTTTCCCAGGCCATTAGCAGAGGCTGGATGGGAAGTGGAGCAGTTGGGACATGAACCGGTGCCATATGGAATGCTGGCATTGCAGACAGTGACTTTACCTGCTTCACCACAACGCTGGCCCCTTATGAATTCTTACGTTTCCAGACTGTTTTTTTTTTTTTTTTTTTTTTTTTTTTTGACAGGCAGAGTGGACAGTGAGAGAGAGAGACAGACAGAAAGGTCTTCCTTTTTGCCATTGGTTCACCCTCCAATGGCCGCCGCGGCTGGTGCACCGTGCTGATCCAAAGGCAGGAGCCAGGTGGTTCTCCTGGTCTCCCATGGGATGCAGGGCCCAAGCACTTGGGCCAACCTCCACTGCACTCCCTGGCCACAGCAGAGAGCTGTCCTGGAAGAGGAGCAACCGGGACAGAATCGGCGCCCCGACCAGTGTGCCAGCACCGCAAGGCGGAGGATTAGCCTAGTGAGCCACGGCGCCGGCCCTCCAGACTGTTTTTTTAATCATCCTAAATTGGAAATTCTGTACCAATAATATTAAAAAAAATAATGTTTCACCATATGCTGATGGCATCAGACCCATAGCACCTTAGAGGAATGTATAAAGTTAATCCATTAAGGGAGAGGCAAATATTTAAATGGCCATGAACAATTTACATTCAATAATAAAAGTCATTAATTATAATATAGTTTTCCAACTCATGAAGATGATGCATATCTCCTCATGTTTAGTTTTCTTTAAATCCTCTTAGTAATATTTTCAATGTAGCAATCTTGCAAAGATTTTTATATACTATTCCTTAATACTGTTGTTAATGGTATTCATTTTATTTCAGTATCCAATTTTTTATTGCTGGTATATGAAACTGCAATTGATTTTGTATCCTGATGCACACAGCCTTTACAAACTCTTATTCTAGTAATTTTGTATATTTCTCAGGATTTTCTACATAGGCGATCCTGTCAAGTATGAATAATGACTGGTTTTCTTCTGTTTGCCAATATATATTTTTAAAATTTCTCTCATCCTAGTACATTTTTGCCTTATGCTCACCTTAGATGAAAAGTACGTTAGTCTTTATTATGTATGGGATTGTTACATGGCTTTTTCATTAACTTGAAGAATTTGTAGTCTGCTGATTGTGTCAATCATGAATGAGTTGGTGATTTTTTCCACAATTGATCTGCATCTATCAGTTTTGGTGATTATATGGATTTTCTTTTTTTCTTTTATTATAGTGAAGTATACTGATTGATTTTGAAATATTAAACTTAATTGTCATAGGATATACTCCACTTAATCATGATACAATGGCTTTGCATGTATCGCTTGATACATTTGATAATGCACAGGTGTTGTGGCTCAGTGGCATTAACCATATCTTAGGACCCCTACATCCCATATTGGGTGCTAGTTTTACTGAGCTACTTGAGCCATTGGCTACCTTCATTTCCAGTCCAGATTCCTGCTGATGTATCTGGGACCCAAGCACCTGGGAGACCCAGTTGGTGTTCCTGGCTCCTGGCTTTGTCCTCACCCAGCTGTGGCTATTATAGGCACTTGAGCCAGCAGATGAAAGATGTTTGTGTGTCTGTCTCTCTGTCTCTCTCTCCCTCTCTCCCTCTCTCCCTCTCTCCCTCTCTCCCTCTCTCCCTCTCTCCCTCTCTCCCTCTCTCCCTCTCTCTCTCTCTCTCTCTCTCTCGCTCCCTCGCTCCCTCCCTGTCTCTCCCTCTAAATTTGCCACTCTGCCTTTCAAATAAATCTTAAAAAAATTTTTGACGTCCCCAGTGAAGCCATTTGGAGACTTCTTTGTTGCAAGATAGTTCACTAGTTGTTCGATTTCAGTAATAGAATTAGGGCTATTCAGATTATCAATTTTTGAATCAATGAGCTTTTGTAATTTATGCCTATCAAGGAATTTGTCCGTTTCATCTAAATTGTGAAATTTACTGGCATAATGTTTACCAAAATTTATTCTTTTTAGGGGCCAGCACTCTGGTACAGTGGGTTAAGCAGCTGCTTGCAACACTGACATCACATATGGTGTCCTGTATTTTGGAGTGCCAGTTCAAATCCCAGCTATCTTGCTTCCTATCCAGCTCCCTGCTAATGTGCCTGAGAAAGGTAGCAGAAGATGGCCCAAATCCTTGGGCCCGTGTGGGAAACCCAGATAGAGTTCTGAGCTCCTGGCTTTGCCAGGGCTGACCTAGCCATTGTGGCCATTTGGGGACTGAACCAGTGAATTGAAGATCTTTCCCTCTATAAACAATAACCAAATACTGTTTATAGCCCTTGCCTGTATTCCTGCTAAACTAGTCTTTTCACTTGTTGAACTCTTTTTAGTGGGGCATTAAGCCTTTGACTATGTAAATTAAAAATGTTATCTCAAAAATTAAAAGAAAACTCTGGGGGGTCAGCGCCGTGGCACAGTAGGTTAATCTTCCACCTACAGCACTGGCATCCCATATGGGCACTGGTTCTAGTCCTGGCTGCTCCTCTTCCCATCCAGCTCTCTGCTGTTGCCTGGGAAAGCAGTAGAAGAAGACCCGAGTCCTTGGGCCCCTGCCCCAACATGGGAGACCCAGAAGAAGCTCCTGGCTTCTGGCTTCGGATCAGTGCTTCTCCAGCCGTTGCAGCCATTTGGGGAGTGAACCAGAGGATGGCAGACCTTTCTCATTGTCTCTCTCGCTCTCTTTGTCTGTAACTCTATCTCTCAAATTAATAAATAAAATATTTTTTAAAAAAGAAAACTCTGTCACTCTCTTTTTCAAATAAATATATCTTTAAAATATGTGTATTCTTTTTTAAAAAAGTATTCAGTAGGCATAGAGAGAGATAGAGACAGAGCTTCCCATCTGCTCGTTCCCTCCCCTAGATGGCCTGCATAATATAGGTCTCCTATGTGGGTAGCACAGATTCAACTACTAGAGCTACTACTAGAGTCTGCATTAACAGGAAGCCAGAGTCATGAGCTAGTGCCAAGAATCAAACTTAGGGATCTTAACCGCTAGGCTAAATGCCTACTCTGTCCTTTTAGTTTTTGTAAAATCTGTAGTGGTGTCCACCTTTCATTCCTATTTTTGGTAGCTTGCATCTCACTTTTTTCACTAGTCCTTTATCTAGAGGCTTATCAGTATTGTTGATACTTCCAAATTACTAGCTTCTGATTTCATTTTGTAACAATTTCCTATCCTTTTCATTAATTTTAGGTAATTGGTTCTTCTTTTACTTGTCTTGCATAATTGGAAGCTTATATCATTGATAAGACATTTCTTTTCTTATAGAAGCTTCTAATGCATTACATTTAACTTTTTTTTTTTTTTTTTTTTTTTGACAAGCAGAGTGGACAGTGAGAGAGAGAGGTCTTCCTTTTTCCATTGGTTCACCCCCCACTGGCTGCTGTGGCCGGCGCACCGCGCTGATCCGAAGACAGGAGCCAGGTGCTTCTTCCTGGTCTCCCATGTGGGTGCAGGGCTGAAGGACCTGGGCCATCCTCCACTGCCTTCCCAGGCCACAGCAGAGAGCTGGCCTGGAAGAGGGGCAACCGGGACAGAATCCAGCGCCCCAACCAGGACTAGAACCCAATGTGCTGGTGGAAGATTAGCCTATTGAGCCACGGCGCTGGCCCTTGCGATACACTTTCAGTGGCCTCTAACAAATTTTGATGTGTTGCATTTTTATACTCATTTTCTGACCAACTTTAGTGAAGCATAGTTTATGTTATAATATATATGCACAGCTCATGAACTTCAAGAAGTATTTCTAAGTAATGACCACAGTAATCAAAATTATAAATTTCCCCTCATGTTCCCAGCTACTTCATTGTCATTCCCACCTTCAGTAATCACATACCTGCTTCTATCACCATAAATTAATTTTCTGTCCTCTAGAATTTCATACAACTAGAACCACAGAAAATAGTAGTCTCATTTTATCCACAGGGAATATGAGCTAAGACCACCACTGGATGCCTGAAACTAGATAGTACTGAATCCTATATAAACTATGTTTTTTTCTATTCGTATATACGCAAATGTATGTATACATGCTGTTTATGTCTGAAGTACTTACAATGAACTGTGACCTTTTGCAGTTTGAGTTGCAACTGCAAAACTTCCTTTTAAGCAATTTCCCAGGTAGAAGTTTCACTTATACTGTAGATTTTAGCAACCTCAGCATACAATTTTTTTTTTAAGTTGAGAACATTCATCTTCACTTAAATGGTGCATTTTACGACTTTTCTTTGGAATATATGAATTGCCATCATTAGTGTTCTTATGCAATGGAACCATTATTAAGTAAAATAAAGACTTTGTGAACCCAAGTACAACATCAAGCAATCTGATAACCAAGACAGCTATTAAGTGACTTAACAGGCAGGTAGCATATACAAAGTGGATATGCTAAACAAAAGGGGATGATTGACATCCCACTGGAGTGGGGCAAAAGAATTACTTCAGTAAGATGTATAATTTTAAACTCATGAATTTGGGGGGCAGGTGTTGGTGCAGCACTTAAGATGCTGATTGGGACTGCCAGCATCCCATATTGGAGTTACTATACTTCATCTCTGATTCCAGCTTCCTGCTACTGTGCATCCTGGAAGGTTGTAGATGATGGCACAAGTACTTAGGTCTGTGTCACCCATGTGGGAAACCTGGGTATAGATCCTGGCTCCTGGCTTTGGCCTGTTCCAGCCCCTGCTGTTTTGGGCATCCAAGAGTGAACTAGTAGATGGGAGCTCGCTCTTTGTTGTTTTTGTCTCTCTGCCTTTCAAATAGATGGAGAGGGAGAGAGACTCTTTATTTAAAAAATCAATAAAACAGGAATTATTTTATGATTTTCTTTGTTTTTTATGTATTCAAGAGGCAGAGATAGAGAGAAGGAGCTCCCATGCTGGGTCACACCCCAAGGGTGTACAATGGCTGAGGCAGGGCCAGGACCACTGCAGGACTGAAGCCAGGAACCGGGAGCATGGAACACAAACCAGATCTCCCACATGGTGGCAGAAACCCAGTAATTTGAGCCTTGACTGCTGCTTCCTAGCATCTAGCTTTAGCAGGAAGCTGGAAAGGAACTGAACCCAGTCACTCTGGATATGCGATGCAGGTAATTTAACTGCTCGGTTAAAAAGGAATTCTTGTTGGGGGGTGGGGCAGCATCTGGAAGAGCTCTGTATCTCTCCTCTCTCTGTAACTATGCCTTTCAAATAAATAAATAGATCTTTTAAAGAAAAAGGAATTCTTTGTTGCTGTAATTTTCCATTGAATATTTTCAGATCATAGTTGATTATGGGTAGATGAAACCACAGAATGTGACACTGGAACAGCTGGGGTTCGAACTGGCGCTCATATGGGATGCAGGCACTTCCAGCGGCAGCTTACACTTGCTATGCCATAGGGCTGGCCCCTGTAGTATTTTGTTTTAGAGATTTATTTATTTATTTGAAAGGAAGAGAGAGGTCTTCCATCCACTGGTTCACTCCCCAGATGGCTGCAACAGCTGGAACTGGGCCAGTCTGAAGCCAGGAGCAAAGAGCCTCTTCCAGGTCTTGCACATAGGAGCAGGGGCCCAAGCACTTGGACCATCTTCCACTGCTTTGCCAGGCCATAGCAGAGAGCTGGATCAGAAGTGGAGCAGCCGGGACGCGAACCAGTGCTATGCCACAGTGCTGGCTCCTATAGTAAGTCTTTAAATCAGATCATTTCAATCTTCAGCTTTGTCTTTTTCAATTTTGTTTTAAATGTTGTATATTTCAATGTAAATTTAAGAAACATTTTGTCAGTCTCTTCAAAACAACCTATGTGGATTATTATTAGATTTTTGAAGATTATAGATTGGTCAGAGATATTTAATTATGTGTTAGCAATAAGACTTCATCTATGGACATGGCATATCTCCCTGTTTATTTTTGACTTTTAAATTTCAGCAGAGTATTTTATAGTTTTCATTGTACAGATCTTCCTTTTTTTTTTTTTGATAGGCAGAGTTAGACAGTGAGAGAGAAAGAGAGAGAAAGGTCTTCCTTTTTCCATTGGTTCACCCCCCAAGTGGCTGCTATGGCCAGTGCTCTGCGCCGATCCGAAGCCAGGAGCCAGGTGCTTCTCCTGGTCTCCCATGCAGGTGCAGGGCCCAAGGACCTGGGCCATCCTCCACTGCACTCCCAGGCCACAGCAGAGAGGTGGACGGGAAGAGGAGCAACCAGGACAGAATCCGGCACTAGAACCCAGGGTGCCAGCGCCACAGGCGGAGAATTAGCCTAGTGAGCTGTGGCGCCGGCCCTCTTCCAGATATTTTATTCAATTTCATCTTCAGTTGTTTGCTGTTAGTTTGTAAGATATTTTTATGTATTTTAAAAAATGTTTGTTTTCATCTATTTGAAAGGCAGAGCAACAGAGAGACAGACAGCAAGAAAGATACCTCATTTGCTGGTTCATTCCTCAGATGTCAGCAGGATTAGCAAGGCTGATGTCAGGAGCCAGGAACTCCATCTAGGTCTTCCACATGGCAGGGGCCCAAGCACTTGAGCCAACATCTGCTGCCTCCCAAGATGCATTGCATTAGCAGAAAGCTGGATAGGAAGCTTAACATCCAGGACTTGAACTGGCACTGTGATAAGGGATGTGAGTGTCCCAAATGGCAGCTTAATCCACTACCCCAGATATTTATAACGACCTTGTATACTGTAACCTAGCTAAAGTTACTAGTTTCTAGTACTTTCCACAGATATGGTTATATTTGTAAATACAGTTTACATTCATCCTTTCCAATCTCTATGCCCTTTATTTCTTACTCTTTATGTACTATCCAGGACCTTCAATATATATTGGTATAAGCAGACACCCCTACCAGTCTTGTTCAGTTCTTTTTTTTTTTTTTTAATTTTTTGACAGGCAGAGTGGACAGTCAGAGAGAGAGAGAGAGAGAGAAAGGTCTTCCTTTTGCCATTGGTTCACCCTCCAATGGCCGCCGCGGCTGGCGCACCGTGCTGATCCAAAGGCAGGAGCCAGGTACTTTTCCTGGTCTCCCATGGGGTGCAGGGCCCAAGCACTTGGACCAACCTCCACTGCACTCCCTGGCCACAGCAGAGAGCTGGCCTGGAAGAGGGGCAACCGGGACAGAATCCGGCACCCCAACCGGGACTAGAACCCGGTGTGCCGGCGCCACAAGGCGGAGGATTAGCCTAGTGAGCCGCGGCGCCGGCCCTCAGTTCTTATTGGGAAAGCAATAGTATTTTCAGCATTGAAAGTATATCAGCTGTCTTTTCTAGCTACATGCCATCAAGTTGAAGGAATGTTTTCTATTCCTACTTGATTAGGGGTTTTTATCATGAATAGATACTGAACTTCGTTTAATTTTTTTTAATTGATGATTATATGATTTTCCTACTTTATTCTAATATGATTAATTCCATTGTTGATTTTTATTACTTGAAAGGCAGAGACAGAGGGAGAGACAGACAGATCTTCCATCCACTGGTTCACTCCCCAAATGGCAGCAGTAGCCATGGCTGAGCCAGGCCAAAGCCAGGAACCATGAACTATATCTGGGTTTCCCATGTGGATACAGGGGCTGAGCACTTGAGCCATCTTCTACTTTCCCAGGCCTTCAGTAGGCAGCTGGATTGGAAGTGGAGCAGCCCAGAATCAAACTGGTGCCCAGGGCTGGTGCTGTGGCTCACTTAGCTAATCTTCCACCTGTGGCGCCGGCATCCCATATGGGCACCGGGTTCTAGTCCTGGTTGCTCCTCTTCCAGTCCAGCTCTCTGCTGTGGCCCAGGAAGGCAGTGGAGGATTGCCCAAATGCTTGGGTGCCTGCACCTGCGTGGGAGACCAGGAGGAAGCACCTGGCTCCTGGCTTCGGATCAGTGCAGTGCCAGCAGTAGTGGCCATTTTGGGGGTGAACCAATGGAAGGAAGGCCTGTCTTTCATTATCAAATTTTGATCTATTTAGTTTAAAAATTTTTATGAAAATTTCCTTTTTGGTTATTCTTTGATCTAACAGTCTATTTGTAAATTTCCAAACATCTGAGACTTGTCATTTTTGATTATATCTAATTTAGTTCCATTATTGTCAGCATATTCCAGGATTTGTCTTTAATGTGTTGCAACTGGTTATATTCTATCTTGGTAAATAGTCCATTTGTTCTTAAATAGTAATGTATTGTACAACTTTTATTTATTTATTTATTTATTTTTGGACAGGCAGAGTGGACAGTGAGAGAGAGAGAGACAGAGAGAAAGGTCTTCCTTTTTTGCCATTGGTTCACCTTCCAATGGCCGCCGTGGCCGGTGCGCTGTAGCCAGCGCATTGCACTGATCCGAAGTCAGGAGCCAGGTGCTTCTCCTGGTCTCCCATGGGGTGCAGGGCCCAAGGACTTGGGCCATCCTCCACTGCCTTGCTGGGCCACAGCAGAGAGCTGGCCTGGAAGAGGGGCAACCGGGACTAGAACCCGGTGTGCCGGCGCCGCAAGGCAGAGGATCAGCCTATTGAGCCACGGCGCCGGCCGTACTGTACAACTTTTAAAAATGGTGTTCTAGGGGCCAGCGCTGTGGCATAGTAGGCTAAGCTTCTGCCTGCAGCACCGGCATCCCATATCGGTACCAGTTTGTGTCCTAACCACTCCACTTCCAATCTAGCTCTTGGCTTATAGACTGGGAAAGCAGTGGAAGACAGCCCAAGTGCTTGCTCTCCTGCATCTATGTAGGGGACCCAGAGGAAGCTCCAGGCTCCTGACTTCAGTCAGTCCAGCTCCGGCCATTGCAGCCATTTGGGGAGTGAGAGCGGATGGAAGACCTTTCTCTCTGTCTCTTCCTCTGTCTGTAGTTCTGCCACTCAAATAAATAAAATCTTTTAAAAGGGGGGGGGGGTTCTATAAGTGTCAAGTGGGTTTAGATGATTAATATTAATATTCTTTTTCCATCGTTTTACTTTAAACTATTTGTATATTTGGTATCTAAAATGTTCTTTTTTATTTTAGAATTTTTAATTTTCACTCCATTTGAGAGACAGAGACAGACTGATAAAGAACTTCATTCACTGATTCACTCCCCAGATGCCCACAACAGTCAGAGCTGGGCCAGGCCCAAGCCAGGAGCTCAGAACTCAGAATCTGAGTCTCCCACATAGTTGGCATGGTCCCAAGAACTTGAATCATCATCTGTTGCCTCCCAGGGTACACACTAGCAGGAAGCTAGATTGGAAGTGGAGGAGCTGGGACTTGAACCAGGCAAATATGGGTAAAGTGGTGACTTAACCATTTTATCACACACCCATCCCAAAATATGTGTCTTTAACACTGAATATATTTGAGTTTTCTTTTTTAGACATTTTAATAATGTCTTCCTTCTTAAAGGAGTGCTTAATCCATTTTGGGTGGCCAGTTTTTTTTTTGTTTTTGTTTTTTTTTAAGACAGAGAGAGAAACCAATCTTCTATCCACTGGTTCTCTCCCCAGATTACCGCAATGGCCAGGGCTGGGCCATGCTGAAACCAAGAGCAAGGAACTTCTTCAGGTCTCCCACATGGGTGGTAGGGGCCCAAGTACTTGGGCTGTCTTCCACTGCTTTTCCCAGGCTATTAATAGGGAGCTGAATTGGAAGTGAAGCAGCTGGGACACAAATCAGCACCCATATGGGATGCCAGTGTCATAGTTGGCAGCTTTACCAACTATGCTACAACACTGGCCCAACTCTGCTTTTTTTTTTTTTTTTTGACAAGCAGAGTGGGCAGTGAGAGAGAGAGAGACAGAGAGAAAGGTCTTCCTTTGCCGTTGGTTCACCCTCCAATGGTCGCCGCGGCCGGCGCACCGCGCTGATCCGATGGCAGGAGCCAGGTGCTTCTCCTGGTCTCCCATGGGATGCAGGGCCAAAGCACTTGGGCCATCCTCCACTGCACTCCCGGGCCACAGCAGAGAGCTGGCCTGGAAGAGGGGCAACCGGGACAGAATCCGGCGCCCTGACCGGGACTAGAACCCGGTGTGCCAGCGCCGCAAGGCGGAGGATTAGCCTAGTGAGCCGCGGCGCCGGCCTATTTTTTAAATTATAATATTTAATTTTTAACAGGTTCAGTGTGGTTTGTAGGTACAATCCTAAGAGCATAATATCCCCTTCCTCTCTCCCTCTTTGCTATTTTTAACTGTTTAACCTATTTTTAAATATAATTTATTTTTTTATTATAACAATTTTAGGTTCAAAGCAGTACTGAGCAGAAAACAGAGAACAGAGTGTACAGGTTCCCCCACTACAGCATCCTGTACCACAGTGGTATATTTGTTATAGTAAACTACCTTGACACATCATTATCACCTAAAGTCCATTTTTATATTAGGGTTTACTCTTTTTTTTTTTTTTAAGATTTATTTTTATGTATTTGAAAGACAGTTACAGAGAGAGGTAGAGCCAGAGAGAAAGTCTTCCATTCTACTGGTTCACTCCCCAAATGGCTGCAGCGCCCAGAACTTAGCTGATCCAAAGCCAGGAGCCAGGAGCTTCTTCTGGATCTCCCACGTGGGTGCAGGGGCCCAAGGAGTAGGGCCATCTTCTACTGCCTTCCCAGGCCATAGCAGAGAGCTGGAGTGGAGCAGCCGGGACTCAAACCGGTGTCCATATGGGATGCCGGTACTGCAAGCTGGGGCCTTAACCTGCTGCACCATAGCGCTGGCCCCTAGAGTTTACTCTTAGTA